TTAATGTATCTTTGATTAGCACTATTCGCAAAGGCCAAAGGATGAATTTTCCCAACTTTAAATGAAGATGTCGGAATGTATTTCATGCTGGAGTAGTACATTATTTCTTCGTTAATTCTTGTTGTCCAATATTTATGTACTGCTGTTGTAGTCATTTTCTTCCATTTTCCTTTTGACAGTTCATTGTAAAGAAGTGATAAGTGGTTTTCTAAATCATATTTGATGCAGATCTTTTATATATATATAAATGAGAGATGAAATATATTTATTTACAAAATACATAATTTTGATGTTCATAGAACGATGAAGTGAAAATTAATAGTAATACCAAACACTTATTAAAGCTGGTGTACTGGTATATACCAGATCCAACCCTGATTAAGTAACATTAAATAACAAAAAGCATTACAAATAGTATCAACAGGTCAAATAACAAGTACGATTTGAGAGCACTCGCAGTTACTGACGACAGCTAGTAAACAACCAAACCTCCCTCCCCCCCCCCCCCCCCCCCTAAAAAAATAAACCCAACTAACACAGATCCAAGGGAATTAGTATTCTAGCGTCATGGACCGTGAAAGAAGACATGACTTGTGCAAACCCAAAACATAAATGTATCGACAGGCAGAAGGACAGTGAGGAGTTAACCCTTTAATTTGCTCAATTGGCAAAATCGATATTAGTGACAATGTTAACTATATTCAAAGATCTAATTACAACATTGGTAAGATCACCTTAACTAATAAGTTTGTTTAAAGGTTCGACGAGTTTACACGGATCACATAGTGATTTCCACGCTTTTAATACATAATTACCGCAAAATTTAGGATGTGAAATACCGTTTTTAATAAGTTTTCTACAGATACAGCCAAATTTACAAAATCAAATATTTGTATCTATGAAAGAATTAAAGTAATTTATGGTAATGAAATCCCTGACGAAATAAATTAACAGTGATTACGTTCGTTAAAATCTATGACTAGACTACACACACGGACATAACGAACGAGTTGGGATATATAAACACCGTATAATGGAGCCAAAGGGACATCGCCGTCTAAAAAATGAAAATTAACAATAGGGAATGAAAAATTTGTCTCTTTTGTCTGGAGTTTCTATATTTTTATATCATATGATTTCTCACTTTGATTTTCTATTTTGTAGGCTGTCACCCCCAAGGGTGACTTGGGAATAGAAATATGGTCACCATGGGTCTTCCTCCGACCGGCGGTAAAACCCTCGCTAAAGTGGGGCGTCCGTGTGGCTGTGCGGGATGTACAAGTTCGCAGTCACGTCCGGTCAGAATGGGGACGTTAAATCCGATGCTTCGTGTAAAGAGAGTGCCACGTTCTTTGCACGTTAAGAACTCTTGAAACAACTCTTTGAGGGGTCCGTAGGTGGCCTGTTGCAAGGCTAAATTTCTGTCCTTATCCAATATACCCTCAACCCCCAAGGGCGACTGGGGAATAGAAGTATGGTCTCCATTGGTCTTCCTCCGACCGGCAGTAAAACCCGTGCTAAAGTGGGGCGTCCGTTTGGCTGTGCAGGATGTACAAATTTGCAGCCACGTCCGGTCAGAATGGGGACGTTAAATCCGATGCCTCGTGTAAAGAGAGTGTCACGCTCTTTGCACGTTAAGAACCCTTGCAACAACTCTTTGAGGGGTCCGTAGGTGACCTGTTGCAAGGCTAAATTTCTGTCCCTATCCAATATACCCTCATTTCCCGTGGCAGTCTAAATATCACCGACCATAACCCCTTAATCTATTACAGAACCTACCTATTGCATTTATTGTGAACTTGTTCTCGTCCTAAATATGCATGAAATATTTGCCACTGGACGTTAAGCAACCAACAATCAATCAATCAATCAATATACTCTCATTTTTCCGTGGCAGTCCAAATTTCCCCGACCTTCATCCCGGACGGCCTCTATTACAGGACTTACCTAATGTATTTATTGTTCACTTGTTCTCGTCCTGAACATGCATGAAATATTTGCCACTGGACGTTAAACAACCAACAATCAATCAATCAATTGTAGGCTGTCGTGTACTACGCAGCGGTGTTGACGTATCATGAAGACATCTGGACTCACACTTTATTTAATAAAATTATCAAAGAAACCTGCACATGCTGGCGAGCTATTCCTATGAAACAAAGTGATTGTTATACTTTATATTCGTTTGAGTTAATGAATTAGAATATAATAGTATTTTTATACTAGAATAACAGGAAAATATTGTTTAGTCACTACCATAGTGAACAATAATCCGTTCAGGGCTCTCCGTCGTTATAGCAATCATCAGTTGTGTACTAAATTCTTTTGGTTATTCTGCACTAATGAACCAGGTATGCACATAGTTCTAATTATGTCTTCCGTCATTGATACAAGGGGCGAGTGCACTTTAGAGTTAATTTGGTATAAACATCAACATAGTAGTGGGAAATGATAGAAAACACATGTCAGAGTTGAAAGGTTGAAAGTAGCGATAGTAGTAATTTAGAAAGGTAACCTTTTATACAAGGTCAGTTTTTGTTCAGAGATGAATACATTTATATAAATATACTCATATACTGTATTATGAGGATTTCACTATCATATGAAAATTGAATTAATGATGTTACCTTTCTAACCGACTCAGTTATTTTGGGATATTTATGAAGTGATACCAAATCTACAAATAAAGTTCGCTGTTCAAAAGTCATAAATCGATTGAGACAAAAACAAATCCGGGTTACAAACAAAAACCGAGGGAAACACATCAACTTTAAGAGGAAAACGACGAAACCACAGAAACACTGAAGTGAACAAAAAACAAACGACAATGAAACACACACAGAAACGAACTATAAAATAACAACTGCCATTTTCGTCCACAAACTAACAATGTAAGAGTGAAACTTGGTATACGTCTGGAGTCAGCTAGTGTTCCTGATAAAAATTGTTCCTATTTAACACCGATGATTACATGTGTAACATTAATATTAAGATATTCCTTGATGTGACATGTTTATGACTGGTACTATAGGAAATACCCAAGACCGTCACGAAACTGTGCTACCAACATGGGACAAGTGTACACGCACTAACTACACATGGATGTTCCATGTGTAATATTAATAAATCGATACTTTAACGGGAGAATGGTGGACACAGGGTCACGATATAGAATGTGTCAGAAAAGGGTTGTGTTTAACGACCATAACTTATTGTCGCGTCGGTCATAAAACTGTTAACCCTCTTGCTGCCGGAGGGACACATATGTCTATGTATCTCTTTCAATAAAAAGATCGAAGATTAAACAGTGTAATATTTATCTTCAATGGGTCCAACATGTAACGGTCATTTAGTTGTGACGTCATTGTTGGGCATGTGACGTCACAGTCGTTGAACTGTCGTATTTTCTGGCACACGAAATGCAACCTTGAAAAACTACCGGCAGCAAGAGGGTTAATCTTGAACTACATCCAAATTTGTTGTTTGATTACTAACAAATATGTGGATCTGTTTAATATACCCCGTCTCCATTGCTGTACCACCACGTTCTCAATTAACTCCTTTACTAGCAAATAAACAACCTCTTAAGAATAATTACATGTTCGCCTTTCCCTGTCATTGGCCGTTGCATATTCGCCTTCCAGTTTATAGACATTTCAGTTTCAGTAGTTTAATTTCAAATTGCGTTACATGTCTATATATAGGAATACTACGAGTTTTAAATTACATTTTCATATGGTATCACCCGATTAATTTTCATTTGAACGGTGTTTGATTTTTTTAGGAAGTGTTAACTAAAGAGAGGGGTTTTCATTATCAGCAAATGTACAGTATTCAAGTGTATAATTTATAACAGATTACATTGTGAAATTTATTCAAGACTCTGTGGTGTCCTTTGTGCTATTACGAACAACAGAATTTCAAGATTGGAATTGACAGTTAATTCAAAAGAAGAGAATATATGTGAGCAAGGAGAATCAGGAAACGAATTGCGTCAACAACTTTCAAGAAAAGATGATCAATATAAAGAGTTGTTGAAAAGGTATGATTCAATTCAACAGTCAAACAATGAAAAAAAAACACAAATTCAGCAGCTCACTTCACAAATCAGAGGCATGGAAAAACAATTATTTAAAACAAATGGTAGATTTGAAAGTGTGCGAAACGAAAACATAAAAATAAGCACAGAATTGAAATTACAAAACGAAAGATATGAAGATATCATTGAAAAAATCTCTGAAACCAAAATAGCAATACCCACATCTAATCGATTCAGTGTCCTTCCCAGACAACATTGGTACGTTGGCACAACATTGGCCCAACGTATCTACATGCATTGGCCCAACGTTGTTTTTAAACGTTGGCCCAATGTATAAGTGCAAAGTGGCCCTATGTTGTCCCAACGTGATGGCTAAACGTTGGCACAACGTTGTTGTAAGGTTTTATACAATACATTGGCCCAACGTTGGTCCAATGATGGAATAATACTTGCCGACGTTGAACAAACGTTGGGCCAACGTAGTACCACAAACTGTTAACAAACGTTGGCACTCCGTTGGGTCAATCTGTAAACTTTTCTATCCATATGAAGGATACTAAAATCCCTTCCAGGCAACAACTGCAATAATTCCTGGTTCTTAAATTACATCAGTTCAAATTGGCGAAAGTATTACTTTTTTTAAATGTTGCAATTATTGCGTTTTACAGATCCACTATACCATGTTGTCTTACATACTACCCGAAAATTTTGTATTTTGCCACTTTCTCTCTTTATCTTCTTGAACATGCATGAAATATAGTAACCAACAACCAATCAATCAATCTCCTGGAATTGTACTTCTTAATTTTATACCCATATTTTACCCATATTTGTATGAACTCAATCAACGTATCCATTTTACCAATTTTTCTTAAATAATGTAAATACAAAGGTATAATTAAATATAATTTATTATTAGCTAGACAACCAGCAAATTTAAAAAAAGTCTTTTTGTATCTATACGTTGCTAAATCAGATCTATAGAATGAAAATTATAAAGTCTATTCATGATAGTTCATTTATCCCATTTGTATAATATCATTACAGTTTATGTTGCAATATCCAAGCTCGGTATGAAGGCATTGATAACTCATTTTATACAGCTAGTTCTGTTTTCCGACATGGTTTTTTATTCACAAGAGTGTTCCTTTTGTTTTCTGCTACACTTTGTTTTGTCACTATTTCTGGCTCCGTCTTATGTTAAATCCTTTTAATATCCAGTTTAGCATATCTCCATAAAAGTTATTTCACTACATGTACATCTGTAATAAAGTAATGAATAAATGAGTACTCAATGTATGTATATTTAGAATATATTTGTTCCTCCTAAAAAATAAACAAACAGACAAAAAATCCATTGTTTCCGGTGTCCTGGCACATTACAATAGTTAGAAAAAATACACTTTTTTGATATTTTCCCTAGCCTATACAAGCCAAGGCAAAAGACATATTGCATGCTTTAACATAATGGTTATACTTCACCTCGCTAGCTAGATTAAGCAGGACAATTGAGTGTAGAAATAAATACAGGAAACTTTGTCAAAACACGTTCTAAGAATAAATAAATAAAACTAGTTGAAAAAAAAACACAAAGTCAAATCTAAATACACTAGCATTAACGGTAGTATTAAACATTTTATGCATATATATCTGTGAAATTCGATACCGATGTAGCATAAATGATGGGTCTTATGTTAACTTACTTTCTTAAAGTTATTCATTCTGGGCTATCAAATGGTAGAATGCATTTTTTCCCATCTCCATTCCAATGCATTTTATAGCCAGGATGTTGTCAATAATTTCTATTATTCCTAGCTCTGTATTATTCCTTTTGCACTCTGATTTATTTTGTCTTCTGTAGTACTCAAATACCTGACCTATAAATTAATATTAAAATGTAAAATTGTATATTAAAAAGAAAAGCTACTACAAGTAATTCAGACAATTATCTTTATAGTCTTTTTCTTTTATAAATATCCTTATGTGTGGTATAGTCTTTTTTTACATTCCCCCTATTTTTTTTATATTTCAAGCGTCAGCTTTTTGTGACTGATATTTACTCCTACACACTATTCAAACATCGGTTTTCTTTTGCAAAAATTTTGCCGAGGACAAAAAACTAAATTCAGTCGACTCCGTTTAATTATATATAAATTACAACATTCTTGCAATGAATTTGATAAATAAATACTCTATGTGATATCTAAAACACTGTTACACATGCAAGTGTGTATATGATCAGGTTTCACAAATATATCGTATATGTTTGCATGCGATTTTGAAATAATAAAACTAACAAATTCATTTATATTTCTATGAACTAGAAATCATTATATCACATTTCTGACACTTCGGAACAATGTACATCTAAAGACAGATTTTTTCCATTAACTTCAGTAATGGTGATAAATGCAATAGTTATAGATTTCAGAAATAAAACATTAAAATATTAGCAATTTACAATTTGTTTGATGATACTAATGTTCAAGGGCAAATATTTCATGATTATTTAGGATTAAAATGGTTTAAACAAAATCTAGAAAATATTTCGCCAGAAACGTACAAACTTCAAGATCAACATTATAAAATGATAGAAAATATATGTTTTAATTTTGAACAACATCCCTCCGATAAAAAAAAACATATTGTTTGTCATTCACAATCGTATATATAACAGAATTTTTAAAGTTATAACTTACATGTTACTTTCTTTATCTTTGAACCTCAGATGATATGATTTTCTCTTTTTGTTTTCTTCGTTTCACTGCTTTCTTACAAATATCCCATTCCATTCAGATTTCCTATAAACTTAATTACCATAGCAACTATCTTTGAAATTTGTCTAACATATGGTCAACTTTATCAGAATGTGCTTGATTAACAGACTGGCTGTATCATATATCTAACTGTATATAATTGCTAAATTATTATGTTTCACAAAGTTTGATGAATAAAGTTATATAATAAATAATGATTGAAATAAATTTATAAACTTTTAACAAAGCAATCTATGTTTACGATATATATTTTTTTTTATTATAGTAGTGATATTCCAGTATACATTTTACCTGGCTTATATATAGAGTATAATATAGGATCAACGTTGGCCCAACATAGATTGATTGATTGTTGGTTGCTTAACGTCCAGTGGCAAATATTTCATGCATATTCAGGACAAGAACAAATTAACAATAAATACATTAGGTAGGTTCTGTAATAGGGCGTCCGGGATTAAGGTCGGAGAAATTTAGACTGCCACGGGAAATGAGGGTATATTGGATAGGGACAGAAATTTAGCCTTGCAACAGGTCACCTACGGACCTCTCAAAGAGTTGTTTCAAGGGTTCTTAACGTGCAAAGAGCGTGACACTCTCTTTACACGAGGCATCGGATTTAACGTCCCCATTCTGACCGGACGTGGCTGCAAATTTGTACATCCCGCACAGCCAAACGGACGCCCCACTTCAGCAAGGGTTTTACTGCCGGTCGGAGGAAGCCCAACATAGAGTTGTAAATGTAATTTCAGTTGATGAACACTTTCGGTAAAACATTTAACTTTTCATAAAGCATGCAGCAATCGAAATTATCCGCCTGCCCAAGAGAAATAAAGCGTATACTACTTCTTAATCAATTTTTATTAACAAAATTTCATATCGGTCCTATGCTGCTACTAACATAATACCAACGTTGGCCCGATTATTTATAACCAACATGAGATAATAATATGGATTTACAACAGCAGGCCAACGTTGGGCCAATGTTGTGCAACCAACACCAACATGCGACCAACGGACCGACAATTTGCCAACGTTGGGCCAATGTTGTGCAGCCAACACCAACAGTCGACCAACGAACCGACATGTCAACGTTGGGCCAATGTTGTGCAGCCAACACCAACGGTCGACCAACGGACCGACAATTTGCCAACGTTGGCCCACTGTTAGTCTGTTGACTGGGTTGAAGACACAAATAAAGAATCAGAAGTTACAAGTGAAAGAAAACAAACAAACACTGCAGACTTGCTCAAATCAAAAAACGGTTCTTGTCATAAGTGATTCTCATGGCAACAATCTCAAAGGAGAAAAAATGTACAAAAACGACTGAGCAAGAATTACTGTTCTTGGACCAGGTAAAAAAGAATATTCAAGGAGCAAGTGAATTTATTATGGAAAATCATTTAGACATTAACAGTTCAACCGAAATAGTACTGATGGTTGGAAGCAATGATTTGGAAAAAAACACACCTGACGCCAATATAGATAAAATGAAGGATCTTATCCAGACATGTAAACAAAAGCTTCAAAGGAGTCAAATACATATTATGCCTGCCTTTATTAGACTAGACACTGAAAACTATAACAAGAAACTAGCAGTATATAATCTGCAATTACTATCATTAGAACATGAAAATATTTACATTATCGAAAACAAAGAAATTACTGACTGCAACTGTTGCAGAAACTTGTTTGATGATGGAATTCATTTTTCAGTAAAAGGCACAATGGCACTTGTCCGAATATTGAAGTCACATTTACATGTCAGACTCGGATTAAAACCGTACGCCGAATACTACAAACGAGAACAAAATGGTGCGTCAAACGGACACCAACAGCAACGAACAAATACCAGTACAGAAAATCGACCAAGACGCTTTCAAAAAAAAAGAAACCAACCTCAAAAGGGACACTTTGATCTGAAAGCTGCATTTGGTGACATATTGAGAAATCTTTGATTTCATTGTTACACGTACAAATACATTTCAGCGAGTATTAAGTTAATTGTGAATTTCTGTTTTGTTTTTCATTACAGTTATATTGTTCTTTTTTGTCTGATACTTAAAAATAAGTATAAGAATACTACTATTATTTTAAGATAATAAGTGAAGAATTTTCAACTATCCAATCAATATTTGTATAAGATATGTCTAATATACATGACACATGTATACCTAAAACCAATAACCACAAAACATTTGTTTAACAGTTAGTATAAAACATTTGTTTGACAGTTAGTTTATAATTTATACGACTGGTAAAGTAAACATAATTTAGAACGAAAAAAAGAAAAAAATCACAGAAATTTAATTTTATTTTGAATTAATAAAAGTGAAAGAAATGTTTTAAGATTTTTGGTACACAATTTTTTATGCACCTTATTTTTAGGTGACAAAGGAGTTTAAGACACAAGGTAAAAATCACTCATGTTAAACGAAATTATTTAATTTTTATTTTATTCTATTTTTTGGACATTTTCCAAAGTGTTGACAACTATGAACAGCATGTTGAAGTTTGCATGTTGGAATATTACAGGCTTTAATATAAATTAAATTTTAGAATTTGTTGATAGTTATGACATTTTAGGACTAGAAGAAACATGGAACCAAACTGACTCACCCATTAGTCTGCCAGGTTTCCAATTTTTCACTACCTGGAACTAAAAAAAGAGGGAGTAAAGAAAGGCAGGAGATCAGGAGGAATAATTTTATACTATCATTATAATATGAATATAGAAAGAGGAATAACTCATGTAAGTAAAAAAGACTATGGAATATGGATAAAATTAGACAAGACCATTTTAATCAGGATTTTGATATTTATTTATCAGTATTATATATTAAGCCCCAGAATCCCGATGTAGACAGTGGGGAAATTTTTAACAATCTTAATAAAGATATTGCAAAATACCCCAATCATGGAAAAATTGTTTTGTCTGGTGATTTTAATTGCAGAACAGGTGAGCAAGCTGATCACATTATTAATGATACTTTATTTAATAGGGCTGATAATAACATTCTCCCTGAAACATATACTTGTGATAAGGAAATTGTAAGACAAAATTATAAACTCACAGGGAAAACTTTTATTGGAAAGTTGCATTGAAACCAAGCTAAGAATTTTTAATGGCAGATTTTTTGGGAGATTCTGTGGAAAATTGTACATATTATGATGCTAGAGAAGGTTGTAGTGTTATTGATTATATTATTGTGTCAGAAGATATTTTCCATTACATTTCTTATTTTAATGTACTACCTCCAGTGGAAACATCTGGTCATTGTATTATTAGAATGTCTTTAAAATTTAATGTCCCAATAGTCAATCATGACAATGAATATAATGATATGGAATTTTTTCCAGGTCATTTTATTTGGGACATTAATTGTCATGAAACATATACAAATGATATTTCATCGTCGCAAATGATAAGCAAGTTAGCCAATTTTATGGCAGATGTTGATACAGGAGGTATTACAGATATAAATCAAATGACAAAACAATATACAGATATTATTATTGATACTGCTACATCTTGTGTTAAATTTAAATTAAACAAGAAGTTAAAGAAGAAACGCAAGAGAAAACAAGAATGGTTCAATAAAAATTGTGAATTAATGAGGAAAGATGTGAGACGTTTAGGTAAAAAAATACAAAACAACCCTTACAACCATGACCTTAAAGTTAATTATTTTAGGGCTTGTAAAGAATATAAAAAACTGAACAAAAGAACAAAGAGTGCATTCTTTCAAAATATATATTCAGAAATAAATGTACTTGATAAAACAAATCTAAAATTATTTTGGAAAACAATTGATAAGTTAAAAAAAAGGTTGAAAAATACCACAACAAACCCCAATAAAAAAGACCAATGGGAAAATCATTTAAAAAATTTATTAAAGGAAAATAAAAAAAACATCTGACTATATTTGAATTTAAATCGGATACATACATTGAAACGTTGAATTCACCCATTTTATGTAAAGAAGTCAGAAAAGCTATAAAATCCTTGAAAAATAATAAAAGCGGAGGCATTGACCTTATTCTCGATAGATTTTTTGAAATATGGATCAGAAAGCTTAATATTGTCACAAGTAAAACTCTTTAATAAAATTTTTGAAGCTGGTGTATTTCCAGATATTTGGTATACTTCAACTATCTCAACTCTACATCTCCCCAAGGGTGACTGGTGAATTTTAGACTGCCACGGGAAATGAGGGTATATTGGATAGGGACAGAAATTTAGCCTTGCATTGCAACAGGTCACCTACGGACCCCTCAAAGAGTTGTTGCAAGGGTTCTTAACGTGCAAAGAGCGTGGCACTCTCTTTAAACGAGGCATCGGATTTAACGTCCCCATTCTGACCGGACGTGGCTGCAAATTTGTACATCCCGCACAGCCAAACGGACGCCCCACTTTAGCACGGGTTTTACTGCCGGTCGGAGGAAGACCAATGGTGACCATACTTCTATTCCCAAGTCACCCTTTGGGGTTTGTGCAATCGAAGGTTCGTACTCTGATGTGATCAATATGTCTTCGAATGACACGTCCATCTGGCAATTTAATATGAAATGAAAGTGGTCCTGATTGTTTTATAACTTCTCCCGGAATCCATTTAAACTTTGAACCAATTGCGAAATATCGGGCAAATACTCCCTGTCCTACATTAATTTGTCTGTTCACAGATTTCTTGTCGTGATAATGTTTTTGTTTTTGTTGTCTCTCCTGAACTCGCTTCTCGATATTTGGAAAAACTAAATCTAGACGTGACTTGAGTTTCCTTTTCATCAGCAATTCTGATGGTGCCAATCCTGTCGTTGTTTGTGGCGTTATACGGTAGTTGAAAAGAAAACGGTTCAACTTTTCCTGGTCAGTTCCTTCTTTGATTTTCTTAATACCTTCTTTGAAACTCTGAACTGCTCGTTTAGCACAACCATTACTAGCTGGATGCCACGGCGCGGAAGTGCGATGTTCAATTCCATTTGATTTCACATAATCGGCG